GAACTTGTAAAGAAGTTGGTAGAAATTTTACAATCGAAAATTTTCTTCCAAAAAAATCATACCCCATGTAATTTCGCATCCAAAAATTTACATGAAATATGACTTTTTTCGGATGTAAAATTTCAAAAATTTTTGATATCATATTCCATATAAAATTTTCTAATAAAATGATGAAAATTATATTGAAAATTTTGTATCACAAAAATAATAAATGTTAATGAAATAATTGATTTTTTTTTAAAAAAATACAAGTTAGACGTCTTTCTTTAAAACTCACGTTTAACGTATTTTTAACTATTTTCGATATCTATTTGGACTATTCGATATGCCCATAATATAGTTCTCGAAATAAGTTTTGAGATGACATAAGCAATTTGTAGATTCGATTAGCGTACGATCGTCGGAGAATTTTTAAAATTAGCATGTTATCGAAATTCAAATTTATTGTGATTTTGCTTCTGTTNCTCACGTTTAACGTATTTTTAACTCTTTTCGATATCTGTTTGGACTATTTGATATACTCATAATGTAGTTCTCAAAATAAGGTTGGAGATGATATAAGCAATTTGTAGATTCGATTAGAGTACAATTGTCGGATAATTTTTAAAATTAGCATGTTATTGAAATTCAAATTTATTGTGATTTTGAGACTAAAATCAAATATTAAGTAAAATTTGATAAAAGTTAAATAGTTATGGATTTCGTGAAATATGTTATTAAAATTAATTGTTAACTTTTATTTAGATTAAAATTTAGATTCCAATCGATACCAAACATGACTTTATTAAAAAAAAAAAAAATCTCAAAAATTGGGAGTCACGTGCCCCCCAGGACCTCCCCGGGTCCACTCCTGGCTACCCCCGCTGAGTTTAATTCTTGGCTCTACTGGTATGTAACTCAAATTTCATGCGACTGGAAGTACTTTTCAATAAACAGTCATTTTCTCGTCTTATAGATCATCTATAATTTTTAGAATACTCACTAAAATTATAATCTGCACCCCTTTCTAACTCTCTATGTTTGTATCTTCGATCTAGGCATGTAACCTATCATATTTTCTTGATTTACATTCATTTTCTCAGTCTTGGGTTGTGTCGTTACATGGAGATATACGTTATACGCGGCATACTTTTCTTTACTTCATCCAATTGTCCATTTTGTGTGATAATGTAGCTGTTCAATACCTTACTCATTTCCCATTTTTCTTGTTTAGGAACATTTTTAAAAACTAAGAAGCGAGAGCACAATTGAGTTCTCCTGAACACAGCTCCAAACAAGTGATTTGTTCTCGTCCTACATTTCAATCTTTTGCATGGTCTTCCATTGGCAAATAAAGAATGGAATACGGTAGAGTTTTAATGAATTTGCAGTTCATACTCGTTATGGAGGAAGTCCAAATGAACTCAAGTCATTTACTTAAATTTTTCTATGTTGACATTAAACCCTATCAAAGAAAAATGTTTCAGTTGCTTTAATTGTACACAAAAACCACGACTGTGTTTAAGGGAGTGAGGCCATCTGGAAATTATTCTAATGTTCTTGCTGTCTCATTTTTGAACGACAGATTGCGTACTTTGAAAATCTTAAAAGTACTGTTGTCCCTACCTCCCCTGCCTCCATGCTTCTCATTTTATCGAGCCATATAAATCATTGGCGTGGTTTCTTTCTTTCAAATTAAAAAAAAAATGAAATTTTCCTTGATATATGTAGAGGCATTTGATCGAGAGAATCTTTATTTGACCTCATTAGTGTTTGTAGAAGGAACTTGAAACAGAAGTACTTGCAATGTGTGTTTGGTGTGGAAAACGAATGGAGTTCGTTATCATGAATTTCACATATATAACTCAAATCCTGGTTTGTTAGCAGAGTCAACTTATTTTACCATTAGATTCTCAACGAACATGCTACGATTGTTCTTGAGAACATACTGCGGTTATTTAGAATTGATCTTGGGGGCTATCTTTATTTTCTCAGTGGTGACATGTTTTTCATGGCTTTTTGTATTTTATCGAGTCAATTCTGGAAAAATAT